GTACTGATGGAAGTTTGTAAGCTGCCATAGCAGAACCCTCCTTCTGCAAATGCATGACTAACATGTTGATCCTCTGATCACTGACTGTGAACAACTATGCAGATCAGCAGGTTTGATCTCACACTGACTTCACTTGTTATAATACACTGGCTGGCCCCAAAAAAAGTCACACACTCTAATATTTTGTTGGACCTCCTTTAGCTTTGATTACGGCACACATTCGCTGTGGCATTGTTTTAATGAGCTTATTCAATGTCACACCATTTATTTCCATCCAGATTTGTATTCATTATATACCAACATTTTGTAGTGATGATGGGAGAGTCAGACCACTGCGTAAAGTCTTCTCCAGTATCCCAAAGATTCTCAATGGGGTTAAGGTCTGGACTCTGTGGTGGCCAATCCATGTGTGACAATGATGTCTCATGCTCCCTTAACCACTCTTTCACAATTTAAGCCCGATGAACCCTGGCATTGTCATCTTGCAATATGCCCAATGTGCCATCAGGGAAGAAAAAATCCATTGATGGAAAAACCTGGTAATTCAGTATATTCAGGGAGGCAGCTGACCTAATTTTTTTGGGACATAACATTGCTGAACCTAGACCTGACCAACTGATGCAACCCCAGATCGTAACACTGCCCGGAATCCAGGCGGTGACTTTTTTTGGCCAGGTAGTGTACCTACCCCGGATCAGTGATCCAGAAAGTATTTAAGCCAGGGACAGCCGGGCACCTAGCATGTTCAGAAACAGGTCAGCATTTACTGTGTCCATATTTCTCCCACCTCCGTTTTCTTTTACTGGCAATGGATGCTGCAGAATTTGTTAACCACCTACAGAGAAATGCTTCTTTCTATTTACACCTCTAGCTGGTTATAAACTGATGAGTTGCTGGCCTTTTTTTTTTTCTTTTTTTGCGGCTACTACAATCATCCTGTTTCTCAATGGGGGGAATCATTTTTCTTATCAAGCACCTTTCATTGTGCTGCTTCACTTATGACTTGCATATCAAGTGTGGTTTGCTCGCACTGGTAGTTACATCTTCCATCATTATGAAATGTTTTATACAATGAGTCATGTGACACCAATGACAGCAAGGCTGATATCACAATGGTATTGTATCATAGTATCATTTTGTAGCTGTACATTGCCACAAAACCCTTATTATTGTTTTGGGTGGGGGTAAAATAATGCTAGTGATTGGAAACCATTGCAAAACCCTATATAAAAGTTAAAAAAAAACAACAGAATATTTCTGGATTCATTAAACAGAGAGTTTTATTTTCAGGTCACCACACCAGACAAGATGATACAATATTCTATCATATGTTTAGCAACTCTAATACTCTGTTTCCATGATAAAAAACCTTAGCAGAAATCTTTGTCCACCATTAAATAAATTAACTGGACATACAGCATTAAAGTAAAACTCCAGGCATGCAAAATGTTAACCCTTGCAGTGGTGCTCCGCATTGCAAGGGAAAACTGCTCATTTTAGTCTAGAGGCTGGAGTAAAGAAGATACACTCACCTGATCCTTGGTCCTGCGGTGGTGAGTACTCGCTTCTCTCCCACTCCGCCCCGGCTGTGGAATATCCCTCTGCATCCCCACGTCCAATGCAAGTCAATGGACTGTATTGGACGTGATGAGGTCAGGGGAGTTTAGACCCCTGGAGTCTGGGAGAGAAGAGGCTGCGGGGATCAGGTGAGTATATTTCTTTTATATGAGCCCCTAGAAAAAAAATTAGCAGTTAACCCTTGCAGTGTAAGGGTAAATCCACTGCAAGGGTTAACTTTTTGCATATCTGGAATTCTTCTATAAAGCTGCATCAAAACCACCAAACAGTCTTATTCAGCAAAGTTCCTGTTCAAAGTGCAATAAACCAGAGCAACCAATTGGAAATCGTTCTATAAAGCTGCATCAAAACCACCAAACAGTCTTATTCAGCAAAGTTCCTGTTCCAAGTGCAATAAACCAGAGCAACCAATTGGAAATCGTTTTGTAACGGTCTCAAATTTTGGAGGGGGTTGCTAGGAATTACCGCACTTAGGCCCCATTCACACCTATGCGTATTGTAATATGCGCGTCTGTCGCGCGATCGTCACGCGTTTTTTTTACCGCGATTCGCGGTAAAAAAGTCGCGCGACCGTCGCGCGATTCCAAAGGCTACTTGGCAGTATACAAATGGAAAACGCCCTACAAAACGGACCAATACGCAGCAAAAAACGCTCCGGGACCTTTTCATGCGTGGGCCGTTTTGTAGTGCGTTCGGGACGGGCGGAAATACGGACAGGTGGGAACGATACCATTGACTACAATGCTATTTATTTTTTTGACCGTTTTGTAGAGCGTTCATCGAGCGTAGGACGCGCTACAAAACGGTCAGGTGTGAATGGGGCCTTAAAGCTGAACTCCCAGCACAAAAACTTTCAGTTAAATAATTTTCCTCAATAGTAACAGACGATGTAAATCCACATTGTTTGCATTGCAGATCCACATATTAGCCTATAAAAGAAGCATTGACATAATCTCTGAGCTCCACATAACTTTGGCAGAGAGCAGAGCTGTGGGGGGGAGGGGGGGGTGTCCATCAGTCCCATCCACTACAGGCTGCCTGCAGAAAACTACAGGAGGGGGCGGAGACAAGACCAGTCACCCTGCACAAGAAGAGAGAGCAGTAGTGAGTGGTCTTTATTATAGGAAGCTCCAAGTTTCACAATGGATAATTGCACAAAGCTCACCAAGATTCAAGTGGGAATACACATGCCTCTTGTGTTTAGACAATATTTACTCTGGAGTTCAGCTTTAAGAATTTTTGTTACAAAAAAAAGGAGTTATTCTTAAGTTCAAATCACCCATAGCAACCCCTCCAAAATGTGCTCATTCTCAATAATGTGCACAATAAAGCGTTCACAGTAAGGTCTGAAATAATCTTAACATCTTGTTTTAAATTAAAATCATTTAAGCAATTAAAAATAATCTGGAGGCTCTCTATTAGGCCTCATTCATCAAGCTCATCAAAATAAGATATGTTGTCTCGTGGCAACCAGGTGGATTCTAATCTCCCCCGGAAAATAGCAGATGGAGAGTAAGGCTGGGCACACACCTTACAACCATCGCAAGACTTCTGTCTTGCGATGGTTGTAAGGTACTTAAAAAAACGTACGGTCTGCCTATGTTGCATAGGCAGATAGTACTTGTGATGATCGCAAACCACGCCCCCCGAGGGGCGGGCTTCCGATGACCGCAATGCCGAACGGGCAGTGTGCGCTTGCTCGGCGTACGATGCCGAGCAAGCGCCGATGCTCGGCGGGTTTTCGAACTCGATGCTCGGCGGGTTTTCGAACATGTCCGTAAGTTTAAAGTCGTGCGACCTTACAGTAGTAGAGGTCGCACGGCTTCCACACACCTTACGATCATCGTATTCCCGGGATTTCCCGCGATTATCGTACGATAATCGTAAGGTGTGTGGGGACCCTAAGACTGGATTCGCTTTGCCTTTTCTTGCGTTACGTTAACGCGCGTTGTGTCACACGTTAATGTGCAATGTGTTCAGGCAGCTAATTCATTTAGATTGTGCTGGCAACACACAAGAACAATACAAATAAAATGTACATTTTTTCCAACGCATTGCACTACAATGTATGGCAGTGTGCGTTATCACGCATTGTGGTGTGCTGCAATGTATGTGTGTCATAGCTGCACTGTGTGCATTGGGGTGCCATTCAAAATAAATAGCACTGTTATGTGTTTTTCGATAATGCACATTTTACCGCAACAAACCCTATCGTTAAATGGTATTTGGGCCCTAAAAGTTTGAATGGGAAAGTTTTACTTCATTAAATAAGACTTTGCAGTCACCTAAAGTAAAGGCCAAATACTGGACTGTCGTGTCTGGGATTAAATGTTTGCAGTTTGATCACACAATCACTACATCCTAAACAAAGACCTGATACCAAATGGCAAAGACTGGAAATGACCCTTGGAGCAAGTAAACAGTTTTGGTCAGCCTGTGATGCCCCCCAGAGATCCTCCAGACATATGCATGCGATCTTGACATGGTGAAACCCATCCACTTTTACAGTATGCTGCACCCTCGAATGCAGTTGCCCAGTTTGCCTCTGCGCTATGTTCCACACCTTATCAGTCTTGTCTTCATTCACTCCAGCTGCGCCCTGACTGCCATGGCCATCTCCATTGGTTTCTCTGATAATATCAGCACCAGTGCATCCAATCACACACCAAAAACCAAACAGTTGTACCTGTTTATTGGGCCCTGGCCTCTCTACATGATCAGATGCACATTGCAGGCCTCAATTCTGATCACCTGGCCTCCTGGTGGAACACAGATCATGGGCCTCATGGGCCTCTGTAGGAACACAGATTACCTTAGGTCAAGGGTGCCTATTAGGTAGATGGTGATCTACCGGTAGCTCTCAAAGCTGATGCTGGTAGTTCACGAAGGGTGTGAATGGTGGCCCCTTTATTCCATTTTGGTATATTTATTTAGCTGTGCACACATGATTACCTATTAGCCCGAGTCTGCTGAGCCAAGCTCCCTGACACCTTTCTGGTGGATACTGGTGGTTGAAGTGCTATGTATTACATCAAAGAATATTAGTTTACACAGCCTGTTGCAAAATACAGCAAGGTGAGCCAGGAGAGAGAGGAAAGACAGCCAGGAGAGAGAGAGGGTTTTTTTTTCCGTTGGTAGATCTCATGTAGCTCGTCATTTGAAAAGTAGATCGTAACAAAAAAATTGTGGGCACCCCTGCCTTAGGTCCTTTTCTCTTAATATCTCACAATATATTGTGCAATTGCTCATCTCACGCTGCACAATAAACAAAAAAAAGCATGCTCTAAACTACAATAGAAACCTTAGAAGTGAACAGAGCCAAACCAGTAACATTAGTCCACAGGGACGCTTCACCAGACCATTTACATCCACCAACACAACAGAAATGCTGCATATCCCATAACAATAGCAACGTCACAAACCTGACTTCCACTCGACACATGACTCTTCTTTCAACGGACACGGCGAGAGACTTAGATCTTCTTATAGATGTCGCCATCAGAGTAAAATCCAGATTTCAAAGACCAAACTCATACTGGAAAGTGTAACTGCACAGCAGCAATGACAGATAAGTTGTGTGTCTTGCCTGCCTCTCAGAAACAAATAGCTGGTCAAGTAAGAGAAACAGAACTGCCCATAACTTATTTCCTCTGGTGATACAAGCTTCCTCTTTTCTGGGGTCTGTCACCGCGACTGCTGTATATTTTTTTTACAAGCTTCCTGTTCTTACAGTTCCATGTCGCATCAAATAGCCAAAGGCACATAAATAAGCTACAAGTCATATCAAAGGGAATTTCCATCCAATAGTCCTGTTTGTGGAGGCTGCCTAGCTTCCTCATGTATGAAATAGCGGAACGTGCAGAACACACGTATGACATTAAAGGAGAACTATGAGGGGAGTGCTTTTCACTCACCTCATAGTTCTAGCCGACCTGTGACAATGAAATTGTCACAGGTCGGCTCAGTCTCCCAGGTCGGCTCAGTAGATCGGGAGGTGAGCGAACACATACCGTCGTTCGCTCCCCTCTCGATCCTGTCACAGCTATCTGCCGTGACAGGGGAGGGGCTGTATTCCCCCTCCCTACTCCGATCCGCCAGCGCTGTCTGGCAGAACAGACGGGGGAGGGGGCAGGTACAGCTGGCTCTGCCTCTAGATAGGCAAAGCCAGCTGTTAGTCACGCAGCTGGGCGGATCCAGACATAATTGTCGGGATCCGCTTCAGCTGCGGCGTCTTAGTATACCGCGAGCAGCTGCTCGCGGTATACTGCGGCGTCTCAGTATACCGCGAGCAACAGCTCGCGGTATACTGAGCCTAGGGTGACGGTATGACGCTAGTTTGTGTCCTCCCGTTACCCTAAGGAGAACTATGGGGAAAAGCCTTAACCCCCATAGTTCTCCTTTAAGCATATAAAATCAACAGCTGTTTACTGTCTTGGTGTTAATTTCTTTTATTTCCATGTACAAATATGCATGGAATATCTTAGAGCTTACACAGGTGTCACACCTGTGTCACATAAGGGAGGGAACAAGATCAATAACCCAGTGTAAGCTCCTGTGCAGCTTACATTGGGATTAAACTCACAGCTCTGACAGAGGAACAGAGTAGTAGGGAGTGAAACCTGGACGGCCCAAGTTGCAGATTCTCTTTAACGTAAACCTGTAATAAAAGGAATATGGGGGTTGCCATTGCTGACTATTCTTCTGAAAATGTGGCTACCTGTTTGCCACTGTCTTCAATGCTGAGTTGAGCACCTAGACCAAAGACCAAAGACCAAAGAAGTCAGAAATTCTGGTCTGGATGCTTGTTCTAAATCAGTACAGTGGAACCTCGGTTCATGAACGCTTCTGTTCACGAACAATTCGGTTCGCGAACAGGGAGTTTGGCATAATTTTGCTTCGCAAACTCTGCATCGGGTGACTAACACAACCGCAGCCATCTTCCCTGCTCTGACACTGGCCGTGGCTTCCTCTAGTCGAGATCGCGGTCTGATCACAGTTTGATTCGGTTTGCGACCAATTCGGTTCGTGAACCGAGGTACCATTGTATGTCGAAAAACATTAAAGCCTCTGGATTAACATGACAGTCAAGCAGGTCAGCAACAGTGTTCTACATAATGTTAATCTGAGTCTTTTCCTCTGATTCCCACTGGCACTAGTGAGGAGTAAGAAAGGCACCCGCTGGCACCATTGAGGACTCGGGCACCCATGTCCCCCTGAATAATATGCTAATACGGGGGTCAAGGGATGCCCTTTGCATAGGCACTATCACTTTTCCCTGCATGGGCAAGGTGAAAGTATGTCTTTAGGAAGTTAGTATTAGGGAAATAGAGTAATTGTGTGTATGATCATTAACAACTATGTCATAATATACAATATTATTATTATTATTGCTACAACCATTCTTCTTTTTTTTTTTTTTCTTTAACGACTATGAGTCTAGTACTTTGAGCACATGCTTGCTGAACAAGATTGGTGGAGCACAGTAGTTAGCGGGAAATTTAGATTAAAAGTGAATTTCCTGCACTGCCCCCCACTCTTATTGGATAACTTATATCCTCAGCACTGTTCTCTGGTAGTATGCTAACTATGTGGACAGTTCTCCTGCTCCATGGCCTTCATTTAGACATACTTAATGTTGAGGTTAATGACAATGTTGTCCCAGTTGACACTGCCAATTATTGCGGATGGGCCCCATCAAATTTTTGTTATGGGCCCCCTATAATCGGTTATGTCTCCCCTTCTAAGGACTTGCCAGTATCTTCCTATCTGGTTATGCCAACCCTAAACCTACCTGAAACCTAACTGAAATCCTGTTGAAATTGAAAATTCACAGTAGGGATTTTCAAATTAAAACACCAATCTTCTAAGTAACAGTGTCACAACTCAGTGACGTGCGCTTGTCACTGATCCTTTCTAATTAACATGTTATTCAGCAGTATTTCCTAGACATTTCATCAGTCACATGATGAAAGATCTTGTTTAGTGAGAATTATTTCTCTGCTTGTTGTCTAGGAAGCCACATGCCAGCCCAGTTAATTTAATCTCATTAACATTCATTTCATGATGATGATAAAGGCATTCGTATATTAGTCAGGGCTGTGTCCACCTTCATACAAAGAAAAGAAGTAATCCCACTTTGGAGGGCACAAGAAATAGAGTGAGATGGGATTCTCATCCTTGTATTCATTTGCCTTTTGCTCCTGATCTCACAGATCAAAAAGAATCCATGTAATGAAAGCACAATGCAGGGGTGTGCTACTTCAATAGGGGTGTGTGGTTCAGCAATGCAATAGAAAGCAGTAAAGTGTAAAGAAGTCCACTATCCCTCATATTTGACTGCTTCAGGATCCTTTTATCCATTTTATCATAAAAAGTATTTTATAGTTAGCACTAGACATGTGCACCAGCAAAAAATGTGTTTAGTTTAGTTTCGTTTTGATTCGGATTTTGCATTATTTAGTTTTTCGGATTCAGGTCCGAAATTAAATTTGTTTTGTTGTGTTTTAACTTGGGGGGGGGGTCCCTCCTAACATTCCTACCAGACCTAAAGGGTCTGGTATGAATTGGGGGAAACCTCACGCTTTATTTTTTTCATCTTCTGCAAACTAAAAAAAAAAATTGCTGCAACTAAATTTCGCCCATAAATGAAATTTCGACCGGACTACCGCTTAAAAACGAACATTCGTCCAAAAATGAAAATTCGACCAGACTACCGCTAACGTATTTCGGGAAATCGGGAATTCGGATTCGTTTGCATTCGTTTTAGCTGTAATTCGGATACATCCGAATCTCCGAAATGTTGTCCGAATTTCGTTTCGGAGCAATGGTCATGATGTGTATGTGGTCCTTCCAACTTCAGAAGAAACCTTTGGTTGATAGATCTTGGGTGGAAAGTCTATAGAACTTGATTGATTTTATTCAGCTAGTTTCACTGAGAGAGGGCTGAAGTTAGGGGTACCTGCTTGAGTTTGAGGTTTTGAATGTGGGGGTGCATAATTTGGGAGTTGGATTATTGTCGTTTGCAGTTAGCGTAAGATAAGAAAGAGGAAAGGTAATTGAGCTGCTCAGACTAAGCAGACGAAACAGGAAACTGTAGAGCTGTAACAGAGAATAGCATTCTCTAAGTATTACCCCTTCTGGTGTTGGGTGCTTTCAGGTTGTATGGATCAAAAGAATGGCTGAACAGCAATACAATGTAAAACAGGTCACACACATGTATTGCAGCTGAAGGTTTAACTGCTTAGCGTTCTGCTGTGTTAAGACAAATTCTATGCCCGCCTAACCCTTACAGCCAAGGAGGATGCCATCTTAGCCTCTATTTGGATTGCAGTTGCCATGGTACTGCACATGTCATCAGGTATGACACCATTCGAGGGCTTGAAAGTAAGGTTGAGAGCTGAAATAAGCACAACCTGGACAGTTGGCATGCCCTAAAAGTAATTGAAGGGTCAAGTTCTACTTTAATGCAGGCATTGATGTACTGTATCTTAAAAACATAGAAACATAGCAACTGTTGGTAATGCAACATGTACAGGGGGCCTGTTGTGGGTTAATAAATGATAAAGCAGCCGATTAAAGGAGAAGTACTGGTGAGTAAAATATATTTTTCCCAATAGAGCCGAAGTGGAATACTCTGCAGCTGTCACATTCTGGCTCTATATCGACAACTGAGTGATCATGCAACTGCTGATTGCTCAGCTCACAATCTCCTCTCTGCAGAGAGAAGTGAGACTGTCTGTCACCGCTCCTGCAGGGAGTCCCTGCAACCCTTTCTGTTCAAGTGCTCATTGGAGGCACAGACAGGGGAGAGGGGAGCACAGCTGAATCTGGCGTTAAAGAGGCAGAGCCAGCTGTCAATCAGGCAGCTGGGTGGATATTAACAATATTGTTGGGATCCTACCCTGATGTGGCACAGCTCTATGCAGCAGCCTGCTATATGCTGAGTTTGGGTCACAGGAGTGAATTAGTAACTCTACCCCTGTGACTCAGAATAGAACTAAAGCCAAAAAAGGTTTGGCTTTACTTCTCTTTTCGTTAACTAGGTATGCTGCTGTATATTTTTGTAAAAAAGAAGACTGCTGCTGAAATATTGCAGTTAGCTCTCACTTATGAAGGCCCATGTGTCACTTGTGTAGAATAGACTCAACTATCTATCTTTCTTCTCATAGCTGACCAACTCTCCTATCCATCTATCACCGGCTGTTTACAAGAAATGGAGAGATATTCTCATGATGATTAGACAGCACATTATTATGAAACTTGTTTTATTCTTAAGGAAAGCTGAATTCGGTGGAGGCAGTGCTTCCTCTTTTTGTAGGAGAAACACAAATTGCAAAACTGTGAGAAGCAGACACATACGTAAAATCCTGAAAAGAAGGTTTGTGTATCATTTGAAAGTAAATTAAAGTGTGTACATAGCTACACGTACAACCTCTCTCTTTAGTTTTGGATAGACTCAGGAAGTGTTAAATACCCTGTAAGGTTTTAATAGTTGCATTTGTTCCCGCTGAGGAGATGCAACCTCTCTGTTTGCCCTGTTGACCATTATCACTTTGACTGAAAATGATGGGAA